ACTCGATAATGAAGTAGCACTTTATGCCTTTTCTATTCATCCATCCGCCGTTGTTTTCTTCGTCTGGGAATTTCTGCACCTGTCAGTTCTGTCATTCCGTCATCATGCGAAATGTACAGACTCTATTGACACGAGCTTAGTCAGTAATTTTGCAATTTATTGTACCACAGACGATCAGTTTATGTTTAGTCTGCGTGTGTCTTCCATCCTGTCGACATATCACTGATTTTTGCGTGCAGATAGCATGCCGACACATTAATTATTTGATGCTTTGCTAACAAGCCGTGGGCGTTGCATATTGGTAATTAGTACGTACGAGAGTAAAAAACCACTCAGGCGTTCCCCGAGGGGACGATGCGCCTGCGTCGAGCAGGCAGGACAGGCGGGGGTAAAATGGGGGGAGGGGGTGGAGGGCTACTAACTCTAGTCATCCTACTAACATCGCTAAAATGGAATCTCCACACTGATTGTCCGATCGATTCTGGAATTTTTTGGTTTTTTAAACTGTTTAATAAACGAAAAAAAATTCTACGAAACAAGTTGGAAATTCGGGGGACTGCTTCGAGAAAATACCACTCCTTCTTTAAGGGCCTAAAATTGTTCTGAATTTTGTTGCAATCGCTTTGTTAGTTATTTAACCTTTTTATTTGTCATCTGACTATTTTTTCCATTTATATGCGTTGAGGCGCGCAGTTTATGTGCTCTCCATTTGAGATGGCGAAAGCGAAGGGAGCCGCTGCAAAACCAACGATGAAAGTCGCGCAGAAATCGAAGGCACCGCCACCGAAAGCGAGGGAAGACTTATATGAGGACTACGTGTCGGATGAATACGATGATTACGCTGATAATTTCATGTAGTTTCTAATAACGAACGCTCAATCCTTTTGTTTTGTCGTTATCTTCGGGATTATCTAACCGTGCCGTTCTTGCATCCTGTAAAATTGAAGTTCCGCTTCTTCTGTCCTTTTATGAAATGGAATTTTTCTTGCCTGGTCGCCTGACGATCTAATTTTTGCCTGACTTGACAAACTTCCAGCTGTTTGTCCGTTCCTGCTGAATAGACCTAAACTTTTTCACGTGGGAATATCAGATCTTGCAGTTCTTTCAGGCCTGTGTGCCAGATTAGGGACATCAGATTTTAGATTTTGCGAATTTTTTAGCCTATATTTCAGATAAAAGGTCACCTACATTTTGTATACATTTTTTACATCTATGCAATGCAGAAAACACATATTGACGAGAGGTTGTCTGTGTGTGTGTGTTTCTTTCTTTGTGCGTCTGTATCGACTTTTCATCTCGAGACCAATAAAAGTTACGAGGCTGAAACTTTGGCAACTTTATCTACACGTGTGTACGGGCCCCTGTCCCCAAAATGGACGCTCCTGCCCACGTAGTTTCCACGTACGGGCTCGTGAAAATTCTTGGTGAGGGTAAGTTGCTAATTCGGGAACCAGGACGGCTCGAAGGCTGTTTTCGGGGGATGCTTCCTGTCCACATGGAGCCTGATGACTCCAAGTTCTA